TTTAGTGGATACACATGTGGAATCTCTCCTCTTTAATTAAACTATATTTTGAAAACTGTTGTTGTTATTATTGTATTTGTGGGACATCCAGTATACCTTTGTAAATGCTACTTTGCTCCTGTAGACTTTAAGCTTAAGTTATACGACAAATGACACTATCTTTTAATAAAATATGACAGCAAAATCAATCCCAGAGATCCTAATATCTCCATCCAGCACCCCTAGACAATAATTTTTCCCCTGCTTTTGAGCTAGTGAGGTATAAGGGTAAACTTAAATACATTTCTTCCTTCCTTCCTAAAGATTTAATGTGACATGAAGTTTTTGAACTACAGCCCACTTCATCAGATGTAAAAAGTGTGTACTATATTGGAACCTATATGTATGTGAGCAAAAATATAAAATTACAAAATTAGACATATCATTTAGATCAAGATCATATGGGGGTGTCAGTATGTAAGCTTCAGCAATAGATGTTCCTGATCTGACAGTTGTCAGGTGATTGTCAGGTGATACAGTACCAGACTTAACCAGTTTGGACACGTCTGGGCAAAGACAGAGTCACAATGACTCAGCACAATGCTGATTGGCTGTCATATGTATATATGTAGAATGTACCTATGCACAGTGTTCTCTCCTGTATGTATGGATGCTGGCGAAGCACTCTGTCCAAGAGCTTTATATATTGTAAATAAACTTCCTGTAAATAGTTACCACTGGACTGTGTTATGTGGTTTGCTATTGGGAGTTGCTGGTGAGTGGAACTCTGCTGGAGTGTGCTTAAGTTATAAGTTGCCAGTTCACAGAGCTGAATACGCACTGCACGACAGGGGGAGGTGAAATCTTCTGGCAGCCCATGGTGGATCTTGGCAGCTTGGTGTTTGGTTGTGCTCAGCAAGACCATGTAAAATCTTATACTTCTCTATAGCAATAGAGGCTGATTCCTCTCCTCCTACTTTTACTTAATTTAATTATAACCCACTCTTCTCCCCAGTAGGAACCCAAAGCAGCTTACAAAATGAGGATGGAGCACTATTGCTACCAAGGGAATAGCTCCCTTAGGACTGAATTTTACATTCACTCCATTATTGATTACTAATTGAATTACTGATATACCTCTATTTTTCTGCCTTTCACTATCCACTTGTTTGCAATAAAGTTTCAGTTTGCTTGCTAGAGGTGTCTTTTTAAAAAAATTGTTATCCTTTTTGCTCCTTCTGAAGATTTTTGTAGTTATCTGCTTCTTCAGGGAATTGATCATATATACTGTCTTACTTTGCTATAGTAAAACACATCTCTCACACTTTTGAAAAGTGGTGTCTTTTTCACCACTGGGGAAGGGGTTTCTCAAAGTAAGACAGTGTACTCATGGATCGTATGATCCCTAAGATCCAGCTCATGGTGCACATGTGTGGGGACACCTATGTGTGCCTAAACCATACAATTCATGACTGGCCTATGGAAAAAAAGCTGGGTGTCTTTCACATAGGCTTAATAGGATATCATGTACCAGCTGATGTTATTTACTTCCATGCCATGAAAAACTTCAGTGGTTCATTTCCAAATATTAAGCCTGTATTTAAGGGACAGGACATTTGTCTCCAGGCCAGCAGGTAACTATATGCACAATGAAGTTTCCCATGCTCTTGGCAAACAGAAGGAAACTTGCAAGAATTTTGAAAGCCCTGGAGGTCAGGATTGGCTTTTAGCATAAGCTCCTCTACTTCTTAGATGGGAGTAAGACAGGCTGTGCAAAATAGCTGCTGGGTTGGGGGCAGCAGCAAGATGGTGGCAGTCTTAGGCTGCACCAGGATTTGATCTCACATCATCAGCTTATGATTCTGAATGTGTTTGCAAGCTTATTCTAATGCAGCCCACCAGCTATGTTTGTTTGGTCTTCTAACTAACACTCCCACTTTCTGTGGTCTCATGCATGCAACTAAAAGAAGCTAAATCAGAGCTAGCCTTCTGCAAATGGCTCAAAACATATTGATTTAAGAAAGCTTTTGAGGTTAACACAGTATACCCTGTGTTCTCAGCTTGAGATGTGCTTGTTCTTCTCTCAGCTTGGTTCTGCTCTGCAAGCTTGTTCTGAAGAAACATGTCTGGAGGAATTGGTCTGAATAAAAAACACCCTGTTCCTTTAACAGACACTTGATGTTTGTAAAAGGGTAGTTGAAGTTTTTTTGTGACATGGAGTTTATAGTATCATCTGGTAGATAACATTCCATTAAGCCATTATTAAAGGAACAGGGCACCCCCCCCCTCCAGGAAGTTGGCAACACTGTAAATGAACAATCTCCTGTGACAAAGGGGATGATAATGTTTAGCTTTCTTCTCAGATGGGCCTTAAGCATCAGGAAATGGTTTTTGTTCACAGCAGCAGGAAGAGGGGAGTACCTTATTCATCCAGATGGAATGGGCAGATGGGCATCTGTATTGAAAATAAGCACACAGGGAGGAGAGAGAAAATTGGGGCAATTCTTAGAGCATTTTGGAGATGGTGACTCCAAAAGGCATCATTATGTCTGTGATGTCATCCCTTTCTTGTTCTTTTCAACTGCAAGAGTAGGGGAGGGCCAGTGAGGACAGTGGTTTGCTGCAGCGGGTAGCCTTGTAAGCCTGTCTGGGGAACATTAACTTCAAAATCAAGCTTTGGGGAGGATGTATTGTTAATGGCAATGGGAAAGGGAGAGAGTGACTTTCTTCTTCCCCTACACCACTACCCTGACTGAAAATAGTCTTTTGGGAAAACAAAGACAAGCAAAATATGTGCCCTTATCTTTTTTATCCACATGTTTTTACCCACTCTGCCCTCAGTTTCTCTCATGCTCTGTGTGTGCCCAGGGCTATGAACCATTTTCTGTCAACAGCAGCACACATTGTGGAAATAGCCCCCTCCCTTTCATTGACCCTACTCCCTCAGCTGCTTGTATCTTTCATCCTCTCCACAAGAATTCTGGCACCATGAGAAATCATGACGATAAAGAATCTATCACAGGCAGTCAGGAATTGCAATTTCTGGTTACTCATACTCGGTGCAGGCACATCTCTCCCCCTCGTTGATGTGAAGAATGTGTCATGACAGCAATGATAGTCTGTTGCCAGTTTCCTTGTGTCCAACTTTTAGCTCTGATATGGCCCGAATAGGAAAACTGCTAAGACAATGTTCTACCCTGTTCTTCCAATGGGCCTGGAGGCAGTGAGAAGGCATGAAGCACATAAGAAAAAAAGGGAGGGTTCACCACAGGAGGAAAAACTTCAAAAGCAGATTGGTACTATGAATCAAGATATTTGTTCCCTCTGGCAGGAGACTGGGGATTTAAATTGCTAGTGTTATTTTCCTGTTGAAAGTTACTGCTCCCTATCTAGAAGAGGAGACATAACAACCAAGCGTAAAAGAGAATATTAATTAAATTGTTCCCCCTGTAATTATCAAAAGGACAATAACTCTGTGCCTTCACTGTATCTCCTGTGGAGTGCCACTGGACAACAATGATGCTAAAAACCTATATAAATATATCCCCCAAATATTCAGAAGTATGGTGAAGCACTAGGGAGCGTCAGGTTTTTGTTCCTGTGCATTTTATACTCCAGGGTCAGGCTGGAACTGGCTACTGTCTTTCTTTCAGGACCAATGCCAAGTAAATCTGGCAATGAACAGTAAACCTGAATTAACCAATATGACCATGAGTGTGTGTTTCATCTGGGAATGGATGCTCAGATCATAGTGCTGCAGATGCAGACAAGGGATTCTATGTTCAGAGGGAACATTTTTCATTCAGGATGTGGATATTAGCAGTGGTACTTGTGCTGCAGCCTTCCATTTTGTGTAGGGCTCATGTTGGTAAATGTAGTCTCTCGGATCCCCAGCCTACACTTCACAAGTATTATCAGTCAGGAGATCACATCATTGGAAGCATTGTTTCACATACCATCTTCCACGCCAGTCTGAAGAACTTCAGGGAACAGCCTTCTTGGTCATTATCTGAAGATTTCATGTATGAATTACAATTGCTTCCATTACATGTGCTGTAGTTGGCCACAAACCAACAAATCACAGTTCTGAGTCTTGCAGGACTCCTTTTTCTCGTCCTCATGTAAAACATAACATCCTCTTGCATGTTTCATTCCCTTATTATCACAGCATCTTCTGAAAGTATCATCCCAGGTGCATCCTTTTCTGTGCTGTAGCTTCAGATGTATACAGTTTCTGAATTCTTCTGCCCCAGTGCTTTCATTCCCTTCCAATCCTTTTAGTTTTAGTTTGTGACCCTGCAGACAGGAACCTGGTCTTATTTACATTAATAGATGTTGCTGGCACTGGCATTGTGGTTTGCATTTTAATTGCTGTCAGCCACTATGGAAAGGATAAAGTCCAGTGGCACCTTTAAGACCAACACATTCAAAATTTGTCCAGTTGCTTTAGGACAACACAACTATCCAGCTGAATTTATCTTTATGGGAAGGATGTTTGTCTAAAAAGTGGGATAAAAATATACAAAATAAACAAAACTTGATATGGATATTGAAATGTCACCTACTTTTCTTGTACCAGCTGCCCTCCTTATTTACCATGCTGTAGTTTGTTTGTTTTGTTACTGTGTAATCCAATCGATAATAAGAATTGTCCCATAAAGTACAATTTATAAATATTATGAATAACACTGAATATGCAACTGAATGGTGATGATTTTACAAAGTGCATAATATGTTTATAACCCAAAATGCAAATCTCATTTTAGGGCAGAAACTAACAACTACCAGCACATTCTGGCTTTAGTGTTTGCTATGAAGGAAATCAATGAAAATTCCCAGATCTTACCCAATGTCACCCTAGGATTCCATATCTATGATAGCTATTTGAAAGCAATGTGGACCTATCAGGCCACAATGCAACTTCTTTCCACAAGGGACAGATTTATTCCTAACTTCAAGTGTGACACCCAGGACAATCTCATTGCAGTCATTGGAGGACTTCATGCCAAAACCTCTCAGCAGATAGCAAATGTTGTGGGCATCTACAAGTTTCCACAGGTAGGTTGTATGTACAGAGCATGGACACTTTCAAATTATTTATATGTCCCCCTCCCCCAGATATGAACTTTGTGGATTAGAAATAATTAGGGTACATTGAAAGCAATCAGTCAGATTTTATTTTTTGTATGAGCAGAAAAGCCAGATCAAGTCCCGTAGAGACAGAAAGCAGGTTCAAAAGAAATAATTTAGGCAAAAAAAAATGCATATAGCACAACTCTAACTTCTGGTCAGAGATATACTGATCTGACTGGTGCAGGTCCCAAAGCTGTGAACCATGGGCTAAGAGCCAAGGTACCTTCAGTTCACACGCCTATCATGACCAGGCTTGAACACTTGTAACAAGAAGGGAAAAAGCAGCTTAGTCCAGACATGTTCCTAAGATTCCCTGCCCAGCTAGAAGAGCCTCTGCCCTACACAAGGCTTTTTATTATAATCCTAGAGCTATTTATGCAGTATTGGGGAATGTATGAGACACTGAGAATGAATAGTATTTACTGTATTAACAATAAATTGTATTTATTTGTTTTACTAACTCTCTATGGTATTAACAATAAGTAGAATGTTAAAGCTATACACAAGAAGCAACTTTTCACATCTTTTTGCACTATCTCTAGTCGAATAATTTTAAGGGGTCATAATTTCCTATTTGGAAAAGACCAGGTTTTTCAGAAATATTATGTGTGGGTCTGAGACCTTAATACAAGGAAGATAACAGTAATTGTTTAGAAATCTGTGACTGAGATGATGGAACTGGTTGAGATCTTTTATGGAGTTATTTGATTTATACTCTAAGAATTGCTTTGAGAGTCTTATTCAATGCTGGTCTTAGGCCTGATACACCTGATTGCTAAAATTGTTCCTGCTACACTTGAATCATGAAATATATACTGTTGGTATTAGAGATTTAGGGTTTTTTTAATCCCCATAGACTTGAATTGTGGATTATATATTGCTGCTAGATTCAATCCTATGTCTCTTTTATTCACCCCATTCTTCCCTCTTGCTTGATACACTTGAATTATTTACTGATGCAAAAAGAATTGGAGGGGGGACTTCAAATGTATCCTACCATTGTGATTTTCTTCTCTTTGTTGATAGAAAATCAAGGCACTTTATTAATATAATTAGTGGATGTATTCCATACAGCCAGTTATCATTTATGCATAATTGATAATTGATCAGTGTGATATAAGATCCTTTTTTGAAGGAATGAGCACTAGATATACAAAGAAGAAAGGAAATTCTAAGTTAGGGGGAAGCATGCCATCTTTGGAGGATTTTCAAAATCTCCTGTAAACTGAATTTGGTAAATTTGATAGAATATTAAAAGATTTTTAAAAAGGATATATCTAAGAATGTGGAGGAGGTGGAAAGGAAGATTGACCTTAAATTCTAAAATACAAGAATATAATATAGTATAAATACAAAAAATAGTTGTTTGAACATTGAAAATAATCTGAAGAGAAGTGGGAAAGTGGTAGAAGAAACATATAATAATGAATGATCAGATGAAGCACATAGGTTTGAAGAGGCATTTAGATTATTAGAAAAAAATAATTTGGGAATTATAAAGAAGACATCAAGGATGTTTCAGATAAAGTAGATGAGCTTGATAACTGTCAGTGATTATATAATATAAAAACACGAGGATTAAAAGAAAATGTTCAGATTGAGAAACAGAAATTGGTTCCATCATCAATCAAAAGGGAAACTGTACCTAAAAAATCAGAAAGAATCTGAAACTGGGGAAGGCAGTCATGAAGGAGCTTAAAAAGATCCTAAAGTGTAAAGATGTGTCACTGGCAACTGAGATCCAATTAATTCATGCCATAGTATTCCCCTTTACTATATAAAGCTAAAATGACTAAAATGAGAAGACAAGCATCACTGGAAAATACAATAATGCCAGGAAAAGTTGAAGGCAACAGGAAAAGAGGAAGCCCCAACATGAGATGGATTGATTCAATCAAGGAAGCCATGTTCCTCAGTTTGCAATACCTAAGCAAGGCTGTTAACAATAGGACATTTGTGAAGGTCATTAATTCATAGGGTTGTCATAAGTTGGAAGCAACTTGACAGCACTTAACACATGCAAAAAAGAAAATGTTGAGGGAAATCATTGTAAAGGATTTATTACAGATATTATATTAGGATGTTTAAGTTCTGATTATAAGGAAGCAGTTTGGATTGACTTGATTTATTAAATGAAAATTGTCTAGAGACATATTAGTTAGATTTACTGAAGTTTGCCTTAGGAAGAACACTTTAGAGAACTTTATTGCTAACCCAGATTTGAAGGTAACTGGGGTAGAAACGAAAGTTTTCCTGGATCTATACCTATAATTTTGAAGAAACAACTATATTTATCCTTCCTGAACAGGTGAAAATCCTTATAGATAGGGCTTCCTATGTAAATAGCAGATTCAGTATAAAAATAAAATGGTGACTATTCAGACTGAAAAGGAGGCAAGGAATTGCCTTAAGATTATAGATGAAGTTGAGGTATCAATGTTAAATAAACTTTCTATTGATGGGTATAAAAATAAGGAAGAAACTCAGGCTAGGACAGATTCCTTAACTGTTAAATATAACGTCTAAGAATTGCAACAAAATAAAGAGGATTGAGTTTTTAGGATCTTGTTTTATTATAGTGGAAATTGTAATAAAGATAGAAAAGTTTCCTATTATATGGGTTAATATTAAAGTACTTAATTTTAAATGCTTCAATTGCACTTCAGTATTACCAAAAAATGAAAAAAGGTAAAAAAAAGGTTAAAAAAAAGGTAAAACAGGACAGTCAACACCATGGCAATAGATGCCTGTAAAGTTGCCTCACTGGCCTTTTGATATTGCCTATGATACAACTGGTGATGAGTAACATACTTTCTCATTAAAACTTTGTATATCAGGCTCTAGTTTTGGTGGCATGAAGAACAACGTTTGCAACTGATCAGGGGATTTTCTAAAATACTTTTTGTTTCATGTTGGCATTGGTTTTATATATTTCTGACATGCCTGTACATGTTAAAAAAGGAGGAGGAACCACTGAGCAAGCTAGAAAAATCACTTTTCTTTGGCTAGTGAACTAATAGAAGTTCAAGAAAGATTGTATTTAATATGTAGGGATAGTCATCACAGTTTTTTTAAGAAGCATACAACATCAGATGCACATGTATACACATATACAAAGATATTTTATTTTGGAAAAAACCCCAACCCTTCCCCCCCCCCCTGCTTCCCTGCATCTTTAGCTCTTGTATGGATTTACTCCAAGGATGCATGATGAAACCCAGGTTCTTTCCTACTATGGGATGGTCCCAAATGAAGCCCTTCAGTACACAGGGATTCTCCAGTTACTTCTCCACTTCAAGTGGACATGGATTGGTTTCATTGCTGATAACAGTGAGAACGGAGAAAGATTTGTGCAAAAGATGCTTCCGGTATTTTCTCAAAGTGGCATTTGTTTTGCTTTCGTAGCTATATATCACAGTTTAGGTTTTGATGATGATTTAAGTGGAACGTTAAACTGGATGATGGAAATAGGTAACGAACTGATGAACAGCACAGCCACTACAGTAGTCTTCTATGGTGAAGCTGATTCCATGATAAATTTCAGGTGGTTGTTGATGTATCTGCCCACAATACAGGATGTAATACAAACCCTCAGAGGTAAAGTGTGGGTTCTGACAGCTCAAATGGACTTTACATCACTTCAGTACCAAAGAAGGTGGGATATTCAAGTCATTCATGGTGCCCTGTCTCTTGCAGTTCACTCCAGTAAGCTACCCGGATTCCAACAATTTCTTCACAGTAGAAACCATTTAAGCACAAAAGAAGATGGTTTTATTAGGGCCTTCTGGTCACAAGCTTTCAGCTGTGTATTTCCAGATTCTGTTTCAGACGAGATGGGAGAGGATCTGTGTTCTGAAGAAAAGATCCTAGATAATCTTCCTGGGCCTGTGTTTGAAATGCACATGACTGGTCACAGCTACAGCATCTACAATGCTGTCTATGTTGTTGCTCATGCATTACATGCCATGTATTCATCCAAATCCAAAAGCAGAACACAGGGAGAAAGAAAGAAACTTCAGAATCACCAGCCATGGAAGGTAATAGTTCGAATAATTCATAGTGTGTTTGTGTGGATCTGCAGTATGTGCAGTGAAGGATGCATTACCCTTTCCCAGTAATGTCCATGTGATTATATACACAATACTGGATGGACAGTTATTTTCACACCAGTTTTGGCTGGCTCCTGTGCCAATGAAAATTACACATGAAATGGCTCTAGGGAAAATATCAGTTTTGTGGATGAAAGGACAAACTCCACAGTTCTTAGAAAACTATTTTCCTGGCTCTTTTTGTGGACTTCAAACACTCTGGGCAAACTACATGTCTCAAGAACCTAGCACTTGCAACTGTGCCTTAGAAGTAATCCTGGCACCAAGGAAGGGAGAACAGTAGGAGGGAAGGGTAGAGGGAATTCTTACTCTCCTTCCATGCTACTACCACTGCCATCATCAACACAGTGGCCTCATGAATGGGTGGGTGACTTCATTGGGCAATAGGAGATGTCACTACAAAAGATATGGAAAGAGAGGTAAAACTGAACAAGCTAGGGTTTGTATTGTTTATTACAAATTTCTGTTTCATTTCTCGATCTAGCTCCACCACTTTCTGAGATGGGTCTCTTTTAACAACAGTGCTGGAGACAAGATTTACTTTGACCAGGATGGGGAATTGGAAGCAGGATTTGATGTTATCAACTGGGTGACATTCCCCAATCAATCTTTTGTTAGAGTGAATGTTGGCAAAATGGACTCCCAGACTCCCTCACTCCAAGCACTCATCATTAGTAAGGAACTCATTAGATGGCACAGTTGGTTTAATCAGGTAGGATTTGTCTTATTAAGTAATTCTTTTAAAGGTATTTTATGCCAATAAAGGTCAACTGAACTGAACTGAACAGGTAGGATTTGGAATAGAGACCTTTTGAGATGACCTAGTGAACAACAAATCACTGCAATTATAGTGGAGATGCTGCAGGGCTAGGTTGTAGTCTTGCATGTAAAGTTGAATTATGACGGACAAAGCTCTGTGTTCTTTTTCTACCATGGGCAATAAGAGTAATATTTAACCCAACCTAAATCTTATAGGCATTATTGACTGGTGTTAAGAATGTATGAATATGTGTATTTAGTTGAAATTCTTCTCGGTGGAAGATCACTTTAATTCTGCCTATTTTTTTTGCAAGTTTCTCATTCTTGTTACTTATGTTTATATGATATTCCTGTTTACACCATTTTAATGTTATATGCCATTTTATTCCATTTCTATGCAACTGAAAAAGCAGTAATTTTAAATGTAGTATTTCTGCTGGATTGAATTTGTATGGCCAGGGAAATGGACAAGTATAATCTTATTCCAATTGCAGAGAATACATAAGAAAAATTTGAACTTTCAAATCAAGAAATCTAGGAACATTCATAATTAGCACTCATTAGATGGTGTCTTCATTGCTAGAGGTTCTTAAGAACTGGGATAACAACTACTTCACGTTCTTTCATGAATTGTAAGGATTCTAAGCTTTATCTTCTGAAGATGAACATTCTCCTATTTGGTCAATTAGGCACAACCCCTTTCTTTATGTAATGATAATTGCCATCCTGGTTATAGCAAGAAAATAAAGGAAGGGGAGCCATTCTGTTGCTATGATTGCAGTCCATGTCCAGAAGGGAAGGTGTCTGAGAATGAAGGTAAGACTTTTCATTTACATATGAAAATACTGTCAGGAATCCAGGGAATAAGACATGCAAGATAATGTAGACATAGGCCTACTCTGCACTGGTGTTTCCCCCCGTTTCACCACTGGGTTATCCAAGTCCTCCTGCATTCTAATCGATTTCAGCTTCCCCAACACCCCAGTATTTCCCCCCATTCTGCATTGCTTTTCCTCCCTTTAATGGTCAGCTCAGTTTCAACCCTCTCTTGACCCCGGAGATTTTTGAGCAGTGTTCTCACATGCAGTACTGTGAACATGATGTTTGATTTTCCCTTTCTTTGTTCTGTGCGCACATTCCACATCCCCCTCTCTTGTTTTTTAACAAGTGTCTTGGGTCTATTGATGGAAGTTTATCACAGCAGTTGTTGGAAGCACATGTGTCCAGAGTGGCATTGGAGGTAGGAAGGGGGAAAAAAGGGGGATGGAGTGGCAAGACAGGACTCGTCCACTTTTTCACATTTCTAGTCAAGTAAATAATCTATGCTGATCTTTGTCAGGTGGGTGTGGTGGAGGGTTGCTGGAGGAGGGCGGCAGTGCAAAAAACGTTCTCCACTATGGCCAGGGGAAAAAACTGAGGTAATAAAGGTAATGCAGAATGCACACACAAAAACAAAAGGCGAAGCCCTTCAAGTTGAACTCAGTGAAGATTGGGAATAAACTGTCAGTGCAGAATAGCCCATAGAGGTTGTTGAGTCATATCTCCCATGTGATCTTTCCTTACTATTTGAAATTTGGGGTTGGATCCAGTCAACTTTTCCATTGGTAAAAAAATGGATAGGTCCCCTTTTGACCATCCAAAAAGGGTACTGTGAAGACCATGGGGCCTACATGGAGAACGACCATTTGGGATGGTGGTTGTGGTACAGAGAAGGATTAAGTGAGATTAAGCAGAAAAGATGACTAGAGTACCATCTACTCTTAATGACAGCGTTACAAGCATAGAAAGGTCTTTCCTATCACCTATACCTAAAGGGATCAAGTCCAGGAAATTCTGATTGCAAGCCATGTCCTCTATCACTGAGCTACAGACTGATCTCAAAAAAACTATTTAATGTGAAACTAGTAGCTATCCCTGATGAAGCAGTTAGTCTTGAAATGCATCAAGTTACATTAAACATTTATTTTGGGGTACATTTCAATATTTGTGTACTGTGAGTCACTTATTTCTGCTGCCACAAACACATATTCAAAGAGCAAAATGTGGCCCCATTGGGGGATCCATAAACCCAGAGATTGGAGCAATGAACAGACAAGATGGATCTTTCTACTAACTTGAAAAATGCCTCAGGCTTGCAGAAAAAATTAAAATCTAAAAAAACCCAAAGCACCATTGGACAGTTTTTTAAAAATAACAAACCCGAAACATTAAAAGGAATATCTATAGCTTTATTAAATGGATGCCCTCATTGGTTGCTGAAGCAACCACAACAGTTTGGCTGGCATTCCAGGCTTGGTTTCTTCTTTGTTTCACACAGTAAAAGGCAGAGAGATGGGACAGGGCCCTTTCCAGGGCTGTTTTGGCCATTGAGGGAGGACTTATTGTGACCAGGTCTGGCAGCAACCACTGGGCTGCTTGCTACTGTTCAACAGTAACTACTCCACAAAAGCCAGTGTGATGTAGTGGTTAGAATTTCAGACTGGCATCTTGAATTCCCATTTTGCTGTTGAAACTTACTGGGTGACCTTGGACCAGTTTCACATTGTCAGCTTTACCTACCTCACAGGATTGCTGTAAGGATAGGACAGAAGAAAGGAGAATGATATAAGCTGCATTCTGTCCCCATTGCAGAGAAAGACAGGATATTAATGAAGCACATAAATAAGATGGGGGCAGTTAAAAGGTAGATTGGTGGGCAATGTTCCCTCTAAGCTATGGAGTCCTTTGAGCAAAAATTCTCCTTTGTGACCTACTAGCATTAAAGTTGTGAGCAGATGATTTAGCTATTGCATAAGTTAGTTTGCTCTGGAGCCATCCTTCCTGAGCTAAGACAAAAACGTGTGAGCCAGAGGCTAAAAAACTGTGAGCTAGGAGGGGATGCAGGACAAAGTGAGGTGCCCCCCAAGTTCTTGCAGGTTCTCCCTGGTGCACATGAGCCCATATCAGCTGGAACCATGTAACTGGGCCATAGCTTTCCTGGGGAGAAGCTGCCAGGGGACGGGAAGGAAGGAAAGCTGAAGACATGGTTGCAGATAAAGGTAGGTTGGCTGCTGGGTGTAAAGGAAAGAAGGAAGCAGGAAAAAGGGAGATGCTATGGAGGCTTCCAGGAAAAGGAAAGAGGATGTAGTGATGGACGGAGAAATGAGATGGTCCCCACAAGTCCTTTTGGGTCCCCCACTTGTATCTAATTCTCAACATGGCCAAACCTGTGGATACATTAATCCAGAGACTGGAGTCATGAACAGAAAAAAATAGTTATTATTACAAGAAAAGCCCCATGTTTTCAGAAAAAATTGGAATGGAAAAAACAACAACACTAGGGCACCCCAACATTAAGGTTGCCAGCCTCCTGATCCAGGCAGTGTGATGACATCACCCAGAAGTAATGTCATCATGCTGCCAACACTGCACAACAATGCTCTAGTTTTGGCCAATACTCTATGGTAAAATCAGACTCAAACCATAGAGTTTTGCACCAAAACTAGAGCATCACCATGCAACATCGGCAGCACAATGACATCACTTCTGGGTGATGTCATCATGCTGAGCACACTTTGCTCACAGCAGAAGCTCCAGGAAAGGCCCATTGTTCTCTCCACTGACAGAAAGATAGGACCTGGCAACCCTACCCAACATGGTGCCTGTGGGCACCATGGCACTCACTGAAATCTTTCCTGGTACCTGCCAAGTGTTTTTAGATTGTGGGTAGGGTCAGTTGGGGCTTTTGTCCAGCAGAGCTTCTAATGGCCTGATTGGCTATGTAAATCTTTTTTAAAATGTTGCTTTGGTAGCGGCTGCCCCCATAGACCAAAAATTTTCAATGTATGGCTGAAGGTAAGCTGGGTATATGCAAGAAAATATTTTAAAACAACTACGTTGATTTAAAAGGGCATCCTAATAATGGTGCTTCTGCCTGAATTGGTTATCAAGGATCCCCCATTGCATAGAATTTGTTGTTGTTCAGTCACACAGTCTAGTCCAACACTTCACAACCCCATGGACCACATCATGCCTGGCCACAACTACGTTGATTTAAAAGGGCATCCTGATGATGGTGCTTCTGCTTGAATTGTTAATCAAGGATCCTCCATTGCATAGAATTTGTTGTTGTTCATTCACACAGTCTAGTCCAACACTTCGCAACCCCATGGACCACATCATGCCTGGCCCTTCTGTCTTCCGTCGTGCTCTGGAGTTTGCTTGATTTCATATTCATTGCCTCAATAACACTGTCTAACCATCTCATCCTTTGCCGTCCCCTTCTTCTTTGACCTTCAGTCTTTCCCAGCATCAGGGTCTTCTCCAGTGAGTGCTCCCTTCTCATTTGGTGGCCAAAGTATTTTAGCTTCAGCTTCATTATCTGGCCTTCCAGGGAACAGTCAGGGTTGATTTCTTTTAGGATTGACTGATTTGGTCTCCTTGCAGTCCAGGGGACTCTTGAGTCTTCTCCAGCACCATAATTGCATAATTCTCCAGCACCATAATATGCATATTGCATAGAATAAAGACAATAAACAAACCCACCTTTTGTGCATATTCCCATAGAACATTGTAGCCTCTATGGGACACAGAACTATAGGTGATTTCTTGAATAGTAAAGTCCTAAATTGCTTTTAATATTCATTAAAATATTTGTACTCTGTGGTAGATACAGGCTACACCTATATGTTACAAATGACACCGAACTATTAACAAGCACTGCAGTCATGTTCCTACCACCCCCCTTTCTAACACCAAGTACAATTCATTCCTTGACCTTATATCATTCCAATATTTATTCCCAAACCTTCTTTCCACACACTTGCTGCTGCAGTTGGGAGTGTGGAAATACACAGCCAGTTGATATCATGTACAGAGCACCACGTTTCACAAGATCAATGATGAATAAGATTCTTGTATGACCTTTATTGTTATATCACATTTTCCTCAAAAACAAACATTACTGCATGATTGTACAACTCTCTTTTCAGATACTGTGGACTGTTATTTATGTCCAGATTATCATTATCCGAATAAGGACCAGAATTTATGCATCTCCAAGGTTTTAAGCTTCTTGTCTTATGAAGAACCACTGGGAATCTGTTTAGCCCTTACTGCTCTTTTATTTTCTTTGGTCACAACTCTGGTATTAGCGACATTCATGAAGCACCACACCACTCCCATTGTCAAAGCCAACAACAGGAGCCTCACTTACATGCTTCTTCTCTCCCTATTGCTCTGTTTCCTTTCTGCATTGCTATTTATTGGCCAACCAGTGAAGATTACTTGTCTCCTTCGCCAATCTGCCTTTGGTATTAGCTTCTCAATGGCCATTTCTTCTGTGCTATCAAAAACCATTGTGGTGATCTTGGCTTTCAATACTACCAAGCCAGGATCCAGGATGAGGAACTGGGTAGGAAAAAGGCTGACGAAATCCATTGTTCTGTCTTGTTCCCTTATTCAAGGAGGCATTTGTGTAGTGTGGCTGGCAACCTCTCCACCATTCCCCAATGCTGATGTATATCTGATGACTGAAGAAATTTTACTGGAATGTAATGAAGGCTCACCTACCATGTTTTACTGTGTCCTTGGCTATATGAGTTTCCTGGCCATTGTCAGCTTCATTGTGGCTTTCCTTGCCAGAAAATTACCTGACAGTTTCAATGAAGCCAGATTTATCACTTTCAGCATGTTAGTATTCTGTACTGTTTGGTTGTCCTTTGTTCCAGCCTACCTGAGCACCAAAGGAAAATACATGGTAGCTGTGGAGATCTTTTCTATCTTAGCATCTGGTGCTGGTCTTCTGGGATGCATCTTTGCCCCCAAATGCTACATTATTATACTGAAGCATGAGATGAATAAAAAGGAATGGCTCATAAGGAACAGGCACTGTAGAAGTTAAGTATCCCAGTTGCTGGTTTCAACAGACTTCTGGGTCATCTTCAAGGGTAGGCTCACATATATTGTTACAATAACCTAGTCTCAAGATTACAGAATCATGGAACAGCATGGGCAGAACACGGAGGTCGAAGTGCATGATTTGCCACTATATTTGCCTGATCTAATGGAAGTATCCAAATAGACTTAGGCTTGTGAAGAGTGACTGGCCCAAATTCACCCTGCAAGTTCCTCAGCAGAATGGGAATATGAATCCAGATCTCCTGGATCCTTGTCTGGCACTTTAACCATTACAGAACAGTGGCATACAAAATGAGCATGTTATGCAATCTGATTAAATCAGATTTTACAACTGATAGTGGACCCCTGCTCCCTCAGTGGATCAACTCCTGTTCCAAGAAACTTTGGAGAGGCAATTTAATTTTACAGTCTGAAACTCAATCCTAACAGTGATGGCTCCAAACCCCATAAACCTTTACCAAGGTCTGGGGGGGGGATTTAAATACAATTTAGCCAAGCATAAACCTTATTTTCATTACAAAGACTGAAAAAGATGAAGTGTTTTCTTCTGGGTGCATGCAGAGTGCATTTTCCTCACCACCCAGTTGGTGCTGTGAGCACTGGAGAGAGAAATAAATGACTACAGACAATGCAAAATCTTTGTTAAAAATAAGACCACATACACATAGTGATCACTAGCTATAACCGAAATAAATGACTGGCAAACTAGTGAAGATTTGCATTTCACTTTTTTTTCCCCAGCAAAAAAAAACAAGCAGTGATTCCTGCTACGGCCGATAATTTGGACTTGATAAATCTCTTATTAGCCTCATGTTAGGTCTGCAGTCTGTTCTGTGGAGTGTAGTTATAGTAATTTATTGAGTTAGATCCTTGTTGTTTTATAAAGTAGTTTATATGAACTTTTTTAAAATTATGGGGGGGGGGTGAGGGAACCCAGGGGATTGTTGATGTTAATTTTAATGTAAATTTTTCATTTTTTTAAATTAAAAAAAAAGATTTGCATTTCACAGAAAGGAACTCATGAATCTGAGTTTATACATTTGCCTGTACAATTTATACCTATTCAAAATAAAGAACATCTGCCATTAACTTGCATTTCTTTTTACATTATGTAATAACTTAGTTTAACTTAATTACATGCATACACAATGACTTGGCTGGCCCGGTTCGGGATTTCCTTCTTTTATTTGCTTAAAGATAAGAGGGGTCCCCAACCTTGATGAACTTCTGGAATTCTGAGAAAGTATTGGTAGGCAACAAAATGGCTCCTAAGGGGGTGGGACCAATTACAAAATGGCTGCCATGAGGGCTGCATCCAATCACAAAAAGTTGGGGAGGTTCCCTAAAATGTCAGAATGTTTGAAGGCAAGGATGCTCTTATGATGGAAGCTGGTTCCAAATTGGTGCTTCTTACAGACACAAAGGTGATGCCTCCTAGGATCTTTGGAAGCAACTCCTGCTCCAGTGCAGTAGACAAAAGCCAGGATTTTTTCTTTGCTTTGAAGAAGAGATACTTTAGACAAGAAAAAGGGGCCACCTAGAACTAAATTGGCAAGTGCCGTGACAGCAATTGGCACCATGTTGGGGACCAACAAATCCTTTTTTGTGGTGAAAATTGAATCATTCTTGCTGATACTCTCCCATTCCATAGCACTTTCCCCCCTTATCTATCTAGGAATAGAGCAAGAAGGCTATTAAGACAATACATCTTTGTCCTCTTGCAATAGGTATGAAGACACTGGGAAGATATTAAGTGGATGAAAGTTAATCTCAATATCTTTCATTTTCAAGAAACTACACACATGAAAAAGTAATCATATTCTTAAGGACAGCAATGTCCAAAAACTTTGATTTCTTCTCTGACTTCAGTCCAAGGACTTTAATAATACTTCTGTTCAAATGTGACAAATCCATGTTATTTAGCAATGTAGCAAGGGAAAAACATTGTCTCCAGCAATGCATCTATAATTATTTCTGTAACTTGCTAACTCCCTAGCGGAGCACCAGCTTCTAGTAATAAAAGCAATATGAAAAAACTGGGAAGGATAACATAAATATATGCCATTCAGAATGGGAGCAACAGACTAGAGACAGATGAGGTTCCATCAGAGATTTGACACCTTATGTTTTATATCCCAATGCCAGGGCTTAGTGCCCCAAAGGCCCTATTGTTCTGTTCTCTATTAAGCCTATTAGAAGAGTCCGTGGCCATTCAAGTAAGGTATTTATAATCACGGAGACTGTAATGACAGTGTTGTAGATACAACTAAGGCAATCTTAGTCTAGAGATATTGTTTTTCCTCAGGATGGGGATAGTAGGAGTATTGGTTTTACTGACGCTTCTCCACTTGGTTTGCAGTGCTTCTCTTTCTAAATGTGGGTTCCAGTATCCTCAATATACCCTTCACAAATATCATCAGTCAGGAGATCTCATCTTTGGTGGCATTGCTTCCCAGATAATTTTTCACTCTGGCCCAAATTCTTTCACCCAACAGCCTCTTCCAACATTGCAAAAGGATTTCTTGTAAGGAAACAGTATTTTTATTTTCTTTTTAAATTTTTTATTAACTTTGTGATAAATTGTATTATCTATCAAGCCAATCATATGAGCAGGCTTCAGCTCCAGTGATACATATGGTAGCTTCCATAGCTGGAGCTTAAACTAGAGTTTAATGCTGCACTCCCATTATTTTAGTATGCAGTGCTTCTCAAGGGGATTGTAAGCAATCCCTGATCTTTTAAAAATTACCCCAGAAAAGTCACTGCATTTTGTACTCACTAGAGTGTCCAGGGAAGAGTGGAGTAGAATTTGTGTTGGAATTCCATGCTTTGTGTGGGCTCAGAAAGTTCTGCTCAAGCACTTGCAGCCTCAGAATAATAACTTCTTAGTTCATGCTGCAAGCAACAATATTACAAGCAATAAAAAGGTTTCAGTAACGTGTTCTCTTTCCTATATATAAATCTCTTAGTACATCCTGATTTGGGTCCAGCCAGGAAAAAAAAAGGAAACCTTATGAAATAAGACAGAATGCTTGAAGACTTTGAAACAGTATTTAGCTTCCTTTTATGACATTATTGCTTGCCTACATTTCCTTTCTGATCTTATTTCCAGATGTTTCCACAATCAAATTCCTACCATAACATGTTTTCCCTACCATAATAAATGTGTACATAACTTGCAAGTCAGCATAAGGATATACATATATATTATATTCTGTTATACAGTTCCAGATCACTCCGTCTGATGGGTGGGATCCAACCAGCTTTCCATCTCAATTACTGTCCTCATTACTGCCCTGTTACACATGGCTTTTGCTAAGCAACTTTGCTTAGGGTGGCTCTGTTAGTTTGTAAGTCTGATGCATACAAAGTACCTATGGCCAGCATTGTAGTTTGAATTTTAATTGCTTTGAGCCATGTTTGGAGACAATGTTTGAAATGTAGATGAAAATGTAATAAAATACACTTCAGAACAAGGTTGAAGTATGAATATCTCACTCTACTCAAACCCTTGTTGCATTAGTAAGCCTGTGCAAGAGTGCTATTTGACAAGAGCTGTAGTGAAGAAAAGTTGATTTTTAGTCCCTAAATGTTATCTGATGGGAGCCATGGTTCTGGTTTGCATGTGCTTTGTAGCTACCCCATTTTCCAGTCTTGTGGCCATCCTCACCAAGGAACATATGTGTATGTGTGTAAGAGATGGTCAATCAAGCTACTCATGTCCAAGTGATTTAATCAAGGTCTGTTTGCTTGTAATGGAACAACACATGTGTTTTCCATGTTCTATCTTAGCTATAACTATATTGTCAGATTTCTCATTTCTCTAACATCCCCTTTAAATCCATATTCCTTTTATGTTATTTTATGTCATTCAAATGTCATGAAGTCTCCTCTTGGGTGTCTTTCTACACTCATCCAATTTGCAGTTATTTCTCAATTTTGTTTTCAGAGGCCAAATGTATAATTAGTTTATTGCCTTCAATTAATGGCAGATTCCTTGTTTAGATCCTGAAAGATGACCCTGGATGAAGGTCTCTTCACATTAAATGCAATATACAAATACTAGTGTGATGGATAACAATGTGGAATATGTATGAAACAATAGCAATATTTGTAGCAAGTACTAGACTATCCTTCTGACATAACCTACATGTCTCTTTATAGGGCAATGACTCAAAACTATCAGCACATCCTAGCCTTGGTATTTGCTATAAAGGAAGTCAGTGAGAATCCCCACATCTTACCCAATGTCACCCTCGGATTCCATATCTATGATAGCTATTCAAAAGCAAAGTGGACCTATCAAGCCATGTTGCAACTTACTTCCACAAAGAACAGATTTACCCCCAACTACAAGTGTGACATTCAGGATAATCTCATTGCAATCACAGGTGGACTTCGTTCTGAAACATCTTATCATATAGCAAACATTGTGAGCCTGTACAAGATCCCTCAGGTATGATATCTGTGAGGGAAGTGGATATTCATGAATAATTGCCATTTTGATTTCCAGATATTATTTTGTGATGCAGAGATGACTGCATTTGTGAGCCAGAGATGGCTGCATTTTATGTAACTAGCAAACCCTTCATTCTGTGTGACTAGGAAAGACAAACTTATTCATTCACACATCTGCATCTCACATTAGAGAGGACTGCCTATGCCTTTAAAGCCAAATTTTAAAGACGTTTAAGAAAATACCCAATTGGAATAATTTTCTTTGCAGAAGCAGCAAAGAAACTCAGAAGAACATGACTTAACTATGTTTGTTTGGCTTGTTTTTGCAATGATTATGAGATGAATTTTAGTAAGTGCAGAAAGGAATTAATAATATTAATTACATTGATGAATTGCATTAATGTGTCATATTAGCCATTGACTGTACTAACCAGAAATGGTTCAAGTGGAGGATTTCAGGAAGAATTCCAGATGTGACCACTGAGTACCAATGAAAGAAGAAGAAGAAGAAGAAGAAGAGAAGAGATTGGATTTATACCCCACCCTTCACTCGGAGTCTCAGAGCGGCTTACAAACTCCTTTCCCTTCCCCTCCCCAAAACAGACACCCTGTGAGGTAGGTGGGGCTGAGAGAGCTCTATGAAGAACTGCCCTTTCAAGGACAGTTCTGACAGAACTATGGCTTGCCCAAGGTCATCCAGCAGCTGCAAGTGGAAGAGTGGGGAATCAAACCTGGTTCTCCCAGATTAGAGTCCACACACTTAACGGCTACACCAAACTGGGAAAAGGAGTTTTGGTGCCAAAGTGGAGGGCACCAGGAGGTGGTGCTAGAGGCTCTAGTGGCTCAGCTACTTCCTGCTCATGCAAGGACTCTTGTGTACATGGAAGTCTTCCATGGCATCCACCCATTGACTCTGATTTAGGATGCAACAAAAGTGAAGCTATAAAAGTGAGCAGGACTTTTTTCTTAATTTCCTCTACACATTGGGTATATCCAGCCAGGCTTTTTGATGATGAAGAAGGAAGGAAGGGTCTCCTTTGACCAGCCAAAAGGGCTATGTTGGGGATCATGGGACCTTCAGGGGCCAAAGCCATATGGGAGTCAGGCTTTAGTAACAAAGAGAATTAGATGAGGTTGAGTGAAAGAGCTGGCCAGAATTTATCTATTGTATTTCATAATATATATAGTCTTCTTCTGTCTTTGATACCAAACAATGAAAAATGTTGATGTATGTCAAGAAACATGGAGATAAACTAAAGACTGGAAAAAACCAGAGAATATACCAATACGGAATTATGGGGCCTGACGATTGTACAAGGGCCTCAAGAAAGATTTTCCTTAATGCATGAAAGCAGTTGTTAAAGTTTTTAATAATGCTCCACAGTACACTTTCTTTCATACACAGACAAAAAGATCTCTTTATTTCTGAAAACCTTTCTCCTGTACTTCCCTCCAAATGTATCTCTAGCTCTTGTATGGATTTACACCAGAGCAGAATGATAAAATGCAAGTTCTTTTCTCCTACCGGATGTTTCCAAATGAAGCCCTTCAGTACAGGGGCATTCTCCAGTTACTTCTCCATTTCAAGTGGACATGGATTGGTTTCATTGCTGATAACAGTGAGAACGGAGAAAGATTTCTGCAGAGGATGCTTCCAGATTTTTCCCAGAATGGCCTCTGTTTTGCCTTCACAGGAGCATACCCCAATTTAGGTTTCGATGATAATATTGGAGTCACATGGGAGTGGATGGTGGAAATGTATAATAAAGTCATGAACAGTAGAGCTAATGCAATCATCTTCTATGGAGAAGCTGATTCTATGATAAATTTCAGGTGGTTGCTGCATGTGCCAGATGTTGAAGATGAAATAGCAAAGCCCAAAGGTAAAGTGTGGATTCTGACAGCCCAGATGGACTTCATGTCACTTCCCTATCAATATACTTGGGATATTCAAGTCATCCATGGTGCTATATCCTTTGCAATTCACTCCAGCGAGCTCCCTGGATTCCAGCAGTTTCTTCATAGCAGAAATCCTTCTAGCATAAAAGAAGATAGTTTTATCAGGGCCTTCTGGGCAAAGGCATTTGACTGTGTATTCTCAAACTCTGTCTCAGATGAGGCTGAAGAGAAGATGTGCACTGGAGAAGAGAGGCTGGAGCACCTTCCAAGACACATTTTTGAAACAAGCATGACTGGCCACAGCTACAATATCTATAATGCTGTGCAAGTTGTGGCCCATGCTTTACATGCTATGTATTCCTCTGGATTGAGAAGTACAACAATGATACCAGAAAAAAAGAAGCTTCAGAAGGAGCAGCCCTGGCAGGTACCAGTGTAAACAAAATTGGTGTGAATGCATGAAGTATATGGAAGACTGGGAAGACAGTTGCTTCTATACATACCTTCTCTATGTAAAAGAAGTTTGTCTAACAAGCATATTCCTGGTTTCACACACCCATCTTCTCAGCTTTGTGAGCAATAAATGGCATTCCCAGCATCCTCCTCTGTGTTCCACTAACTTGCTTTTGTTTTGCTCATTCTGTCTTCCTGCTGTATCTATGGGTATAAAACCTTCTTCTGTCACACACACACACCCCTTTGATCTGGCTGCAAATAGGTAGTGCAGCTTTTAGTATACTTATGTATGTGTCCTCATGATGCAACTGCTTTATGGTGAACAGTGTTCCCTCTAAGCTGAATTAGTGTGAGATAGCTCACAGTGGTTTAGCCTCTGGCTCACACCTTTTTGCCTTCGCTCGAGAAGGATGGCTCCAGAGCAGATTAATTTACGCAGTACCCAAATCGCTTGGTCACAACTTTAATGCCAGTAGCTCACAAAGTAGGATTTTCGCTCACAAGACTCCACAGCTTAGAGGGAGCATTGATGGTGACCTCAGCAAGGGGCATTCAAGGCATGTGAGAAGTAGGTGTAGCTTGTCTTGGCCTTCTTCTGCAGAGCCTAACCTGATGGATAGATTAAGATGATTAGATACCGACTCTGGTTAGATTCCAAGATTTGGGGGGGGGGTGTGCATGTGCGTCCGTGTCCACTTGCATGCCTGGAAGTCATGGTGACTTCTGGCAACCCCTAGTGGGGCTAGGACATTTCAGAGAGGTGGCTAGATATTTGCCTGCTTCTGCATCCCAGCCCTGGTATTACTTGGAGGTCTCCCTTCCACGTACTTGCCAGGGTCGGCACTGCTTAGTTTCCAAGATCTGACGAGACTGGGTTTGCCTTGGTTATCCAGGTCAGGGCATTAGCTTCTGAGATTTGACAAGATTAGGCTATGCCATGCTGCTTTCCCTCCCACTTTTACTGTAGCATGTGCATTTAAGCTCCATACAAGAACACTGTATTTCATTAGTGACCAGACCCCTCCCCATTCAGTTATGAGAGTTATGATGAGCACTGCTGGAAAATTCTTGGAGTGCAAATTCTTCCCCTCAAAGAAGTCTGTATTTATTTGTCATTAGTCTTTCTTGGAGTCATTAGTCATTCTTGGAGTGCAAATTCTTCCCCTCAAAGAAGTCTGTATTTATTTGTCATTAGTCTCCCCTGGCCCTCAACTTCCTTGTGACCCCTACCGCAATCCCCTGCAGTTATTTTGATTCATAGGTTGCCACTTGCTCAGCAGCAATTGTTGAGGTGAAGGGATCTTTATTTCTTTTCTACTCCTCTCCTCTCCTCTCCTCCCAGGATGCACATGACTATAACAGGTTCCAGTTACTAGGATGCTGGAAAACATGGTCCATCAGCCAACTTTGGTAGTATAAAGCACTTAAGGGGAAGAAGGGTAGGTATAGGGGAACGGGGAGCCAGAGATCTCCTTCCATCTCTGCTGCTACAGAAACTGCCAAAGCAGCCAGGGCTGCCAAAAGACACCATGGGAAATTATTCCTTTCCTTCTCCATTCATGCCATTGAAGAAGAGACAAACATCAATGAGGAAGGGAACTGACCAATTCCAAATGGAATAGAGATGGGAAAAGCCTTTCTTGGAACCCATAGTCATTCACATTAACCATTTGCTGCACTAAGATCATAGCTAGTGCTTTTTGGTGCTTAGGGTATCAAACAGCAAAGCATTAAAATGAGTGATGATGGATGCCTAGAGAGGCTTCTGGCTGTTGCTGAAGTCTTGAGAATACAGGAGTCCTGTGGACTCAGAACATGAGAGCAAAATCAGCCACCTGGATTGTGCGGCTGTCCATTCTCCTTGCAAGCAAGGTGTGGGGGATTTTGTACTGCAGCTCCCACGAAGTCCCACATTTTAGTAGCCCAAACAGCAGCAGACAGGTGCAGCAATATCATCTTAGGGCCAGAGTAGAAGTGAAATAGAAGATTTTTAATGAGGCTCTCATTCATCTGCTTTATCTTTTCGCAGTCTGATCTGAAGATCAGCCAATTAGTACTGGGGAGTATGGACTCAGTGTGTTGTAGCTTACCCTGCTGAAGTTCTGGTTACCTGCACAAGTTAAAGAAAGCTAGATCAGATGCTGTAACAACAGGATAACATTCAACTAATGACCTCTATAGACAATCTACGGCTGAAAACAATCAGCAGCAAAAATGTTGAGTATGCAGGCCAAGATATTAAAATGATAACATCACAGACCAATGGGTCTGAGCACTCCTTTGTTCTCACAAAGAATGTGATGGATGCTGAGGACTTAACAAACCTCATCTGCTCCCTCTCAGTTGACAGCCTTCCACACAGAAGTTCCACCATGAAGTAGCAGTGTGTTTTCAAAGGTGTGTGACTAGGCTATTCAAACAGGTCGTTCGGTTGAATGAAAGTTCAACTGGCATAAGAAAAGAATTCAAAATTAGGAGGGAGATTTTAGCTTGGTTCTTATGTTTAAAGGGTGGCTCTGACGTGGACAAAATGGCCCTTGATCAATAGCAGATGTTTCTAGTTCATTGCCTATGTTTTCATTCCTGGTTCTCCAGTTGCCTCCATTTGTGAAACTCTTTCGATTTCCTTTTCTGTCTAGCTCCATCACTTTCTGAGAGGTGTCTCATTTAACAACAGCGTTGGGGACAAGGTTTCCTTTGACCACAATGGGGATTTAGAAGCAGGATTTGATGTTATCAACTGGGTCACATTCCCAAACCAATCTTTTGTTAGAGTGAAAGTTGGTAAGATGGATCCCCAGGCTCCTCCTTATCATGAGCTTACTGTTAATGAGGATGCTATCGTATGGCACAGCAGGTTTAATCAGGTAGGACTTGAATGAACACCTTTTTGGGAAGTGTCCCAAGGAGCAATGAGTGACTGAATTTTAGCAGAGAATCTGTAGGATACAAGTCACATATTTTTAAAATTTTATTATTTTTTTCCTCCACAATGGGGACTCAAAGTGGTTTACAATATAAAGAAATATAGTACAAACAAAGAGGAGAAAGGGGGAAAATTCTGAATGCAGAACAAGTCTGTCTCTCCTAGGGTTACCAGGCTGCTTGCTGCTCTGTGTTGCTCTGTGGAGCAGCAGGGGGGGGGGGAATAGAGAAATCAGTGCAATGCATAACGTATCTTCCAGTGGAGAGGGTGGAAATTATATCACAGTGTCAGTGATGATATAGTAATTTCCTGAATCTCTATGGTATTTACGGCATTGATCCTGTGAGATTACTTCCACATGTTCAACCAGAAGTTATGGCATGACATTAGTGATACCTCCCCTCTCCAGGATCTATCCCAAATTGGCCCTGGGGTTACAAGCAGAGGGCTGGCAACTCTAGTCCTAGCTTCAAATTCATAGCTCTCTACATGGGCTTGCCCTTGTCTCAGATCCAGAAGCTGCAGTTACTGCAAAATGTGGCGGTCAGGCTGCTGATGGGACTCTCTATACGAGACCACATCCAACCTGCACTGAAGGCATTGCACTGGCTGCCAATAGCTTACCGGATCTGTTTCAAGGTGCTGGTTTTGACCTTTAAACCCCTATATGGTCAGGGGCCTGCCTACTTGAGGGGCTGTCTTTCCCCACATGTGCCCCATAGAGCACTGAGGTCCGGAACAGAATCGCCTGACTCTTCCTGGCCCGAGAGATGTCAAGTTGGCTGCTACTAGAGCCAGGGCCTTTTCAGTGGTGGCTCCATGCTGGTGGAAAGAGCTCCCAGATAACATCAGGGCCCTGTGGGACCTTTTACAGTTCCGCAGGGCCTGCAAAATGGAGCTCTTCCACCAGGCCTTTGATTAGGAGCTGCCGCTGATGAATGGGCCACTGGTGAAAGCGCCACTGATGAATGCGCTGCCAGGATACATTTTGGCCTGCACGAAACATTGGCTGGTTTGCTGCTGTTTGTATATTGCACACCACCATCATCATTATTATCATTAGTACTCTTTAGTTGCTTAGGCAGTTGTATTTATTCTCCATTGTATTTTAATGTATTTATTGTTTTAGTGTTTTAATGTTGTTAGCCCCCTTGAGCCAGTTCTGTGGCAAGGTGGGATACAAATTGAAATAATAAATAAATAAATAAATAAATAAATAGCTCTGGACATGTCCAGGCCTTATAAATCTCTTTGCTTTCCAGCACTTGAGGCACTTCTGCCTCACAGCCGGCATCACGGGTAGGCTTAGGTGGGCACTCACTGACAAACACCCGCAGTGTAAGTGAAGGAGGGAGTCTGGAGGAATCAGCTGAATGTGGGGGAGGGGTTGCCTCCTTCCCAGCTCCATTCTGTCCCTCACTCCCTTTCTCCCTGTCCCGCATCTCCCCAGCTTTCCCCTCACAGTCTGCTGTCTGCACACAACATTTGCTCCCGCACGCTTGAGAGGGTTTGGTGTATTTACTGTGGGATGCACTAAAATGAAGGACAGGATTGCCCATTGGGAAAAATGAGAGAGGCTTTAAGGACCATTGAATATAATGGAAGCCATGAATGCCAATTGACTTACATGGGCCAATTACTTACAATGACTTACATGGCCAATTGACTTACATGGGCTCCATTAAAATGCATTAGATTGCAACCCTTTGCTTGGCCGCAGTGGAGGGCAATGGTGGTCTTTTGCCCAGCATCCCCAAATCACTAGATCTGATCCAGATATGGTGTCTAGATCTTTCTTCACAGGAGTCACACTGATTATTAGTTTAACAAATGTAGATATCTATGCTTTTGACCTTTGTCATATGGGTAGAAGACTCAATAATGCTGCATATCATGTTTAAGAAACTAGCAACCGCATGTTGCACGCTATGTTCCTGTAAGCCATAAATATTTTAAGACCATTTATCTACATATTTACACTCTCCTCTTTGATCAATGGATTAGGCACAACCCCTTTCTGTATGTAGTGACAAGTGCCATCTTGGTTACAGCAAGCAAATGAAAGAGGGGGAGCCATTCTGCTGCTATAATTGCATTCAGTGTCCAAAGGGGAAGATATCTGAACAGGAAGGTGAGAATACTCATGTACAGAACTATCAGTATGATTGGCTTTGGTTGTAATCCAGTGAAAGATCTATGAAACGTCAAATATATTGAATCAGTTTTTCGCATCTTATCTTTCTTCAATATTTTGAGGGTGACTTGTAAATAATAGGCAGTTCTGGTAATATCTAAACAGTAAAGACATTTCAACAATATAGTTGAGTTGCCTGTGGTAATTATCAGTCTGAAGGCCAAACTGGTGAGCCAATCAGTCTTCCTTATGGAAGACTATATTGTCTGTTGGCCTAATGGCACATTGCTGGCTGCCAGAGTAGGACGGAGGAATCATACAATATGCTGATATCAGTATTTTGTATCACTCACTCCATTGCTTGCATGTTCACAATTACCATCAACCAAAAGATCCACATCTTCATCATTGCATCTTACAGATGCTTGTGACTTACCAGTTCCTCTAGCAATGGCTGTTTCACCATGGAAACCACCTTCCAAACACATGGGCAAGGATTTTGCCCACTTTCCTGAAACATGGGGCAGGTGCCATATTGAGGAACAGGGCTCAGAAGAGTCACAAATGGCATGTCAAAGAGCTACATGTGGCTCCAAAGCCACTGAGCGAGTATCACGATGTTAAATATTACAGGGAGGGATGTGGACCCATATACTTTGGGCAGTAGAACAAAAAAACAAACAGACAATTGGTGCAGTGTTAGGATTAATTTTAATTCACTCCAAGACCCCGTATGTTTCTCATACATTTAATCAGGGGACTCTATAAAATACTGTTCTCCAAACACTTCTCACAGCTGTTGCGGCACACAGTGATACATTTGTCAACAGTCACACAGGCAATTATGTATCTGTATAAGTAGTTGATCCACAGTCTGAGATCAGACATAATGCAAAAATCATTGTTTAATTCCTCTAACTATAGTTAGTGTGGCTTACTGAACTCTGGCAATTTCATTACCTATAGCTAGTTTAGAGCATGTTAACACAGGATCTGAAATCAGGGTTTGAATTTTATTAAGCACAGTTAGTCTTAACCAGTTTCACATGATGTACAAATACAGTCATCCCAGTTTAATCCTGATTTAATTGTGGCTTACTCCCTGTTGTTGCATTTCACCATTGCCTGCCAAATAAATGCCTGAATTGAGGAAAGCTGATGAAACCAGCGTTTGTCAAAGCTAACCAGGGCTTGAATGACTGCCTGCAAGGCAAATCCTGTTTTCACAAACTAATTGTATTTCAAACTATCCAACAAAGCATGGTATAATGACGAGATTTTTAAAAAAATAATTCTTAAAGAGATTTGTAGGCTGGTAGTTTCACATGATTAATACCAGAACTTCTCCTTTTCAGATATGGCTGACTGCTATAAGTGCTCAGATGACCGATATCCAAACAAGGACCAAAATGTATGCATCCCCAAAACAGTGACCTTCTTGTCCTATGATGAACCTTTGGGGATGAGCTTAGCTATTGTTGCTCTTTCCTTTGGTGTCATCACAGCCCTGGTGCTGGGAACCTTTGTGAGGCACCACGACACTCCCATAGTCAGAGCCAACAACAGGAGTCTCACTTATACTCTTCTCATCTCCCTCCTGCACTGCTTCCTTTCTGCACTGCTATTCATCGGCTACCCTGATAAGATAACCTGTCTCTTCCGTCAAACTATTTTTGGTATTATCTTCTCAGTGGCTCTTTCTTCTGTATTAGCAAAAACTATCACAGTGGTTTTGGCCTTCATGGCCACTAAGCCTGGAAGCAGGATGAGGAAGTGGGTGGGGAAAAGCCTGTCCATTTCAATTGTTCTTCCCTGCTGTTTTATTCAAGTAGGTATTTGTGTCATTTGGATAGTAAACTTCCCCCCATTCCCAGATACTGACATGCATTCAATGACTGAAGAAGTTGTATTAGAATGTAATGAAGCATCTCCTATCATGTTTTACTGTGTCTTGAGCTACATGGGTTTCCTGGCAATTGCCAGCTTTACTGTGGCTTTCTTTGCCAGAAAGCTACCTGATAGTTTTAATGAAGCCAAGTTTATCACATTCAGCATGCTGGTCTTTTGCAGTGTTTGGCTATCCTTTGTTCCAAGCTACTTGAACACCAAAGGGAAATACATGGTAGCTGTAGAGATCTTCTCCATTTTAACCTCCAGTGCTGGGGTGCTGGGTTGTATTTGTGTCCCCAAATGCTTCATTATTATGCTCAGGCCTAAGATGAACAACAGAGAGTTGTTGAAAAGGAGAAACTGTTGAAGAAGATAAAATGAGGAATGCTCTCTTTTGCTCACCAGATCAGTCGCCCCTCTTCCTTCCCTGCCCACGAGGTAGCCAGGCAGTCCAGAATGGGAAGTGATTTTAGTTTGACATCTGGAGTTTAACTTTATTTATTGGTACTGCTGTATTTAAATTGTAGAGTTGCTGTGTTTTTATCCATTGTTGTGTATCTCCCAGAGCTCTGCAGTAACAGGGATGGGTGATTCAAAAATCCAATAAATAAAAATCTAAATAACAACAACAACAACAATAACATCTTCATCATAAATGAGTTTTCTGGGCAAAGTTACGATAATGAAGGGTAGCAAATCTGGTGACCCAATCTCAGGATTAGTTCTTTAGCATGGCAAGTGGCTTGATTTCCTTGCAAAGTCACTGCTGTCAAGCAGCATCAGATGAAAATATTGACCTGCTCCCTCCATTGCAGTGGTGCAAATAAAACAAGGAACAGATCACAGAAACCCAAGGAATGGGTCAAACATAGTGCCTGAGCTGCAATCTTCTTTCCTAGGACTAAGCCTCATTGAATAAAATGGGACATTTGTTTTTTTTTAATTGATTAGCCACCCTTTCACCTTACAGAGCTCAAGGCAGCTTACGATATAAATAAAATATTTCTGAATATACCAGTTTAAGACTTCATGCTCAGTCCCCAGGTTCTGAAACAACTGCCCTCAGATAAGAATCATGGTCCCAGGTATTGAAATGAGTGCTCTTTTAGGCCTTTTGCGGCCTCCCAGATACCACATAAAGGTAAAGGTAAAGGTTCCCTTGCTCGAAAGCCAGTCGAATCCGACTCTAGGGTTGCGGTGCTCATCTCCGTTTCAAAGCCGAAGAGCCAGCGCTGTCCGAAGACGTTTCCGTGGTCATGTCTACTGGTCTACTGAGATGGAAATCCCCTTTTATTCACTGAGCTACTCCCAGGAAGAAGGATTTTATCCTCTTTCTACTTTCAGGGACCACATAGACTCATTCCCATGTTTCTCTTGGAAATATCAAATAAGTGTGCATAGAATGCAGTTTTTATTAGTGCCATTTAATAGTATTATGTGTAAAAAAGAAATTAAGTACAATGTTCACAGAAAAGGCTAATTGAGTGATATTAACAGGTAGCTGGATGGTTGTTGTCATGCCCCTTCCTCCAACAAAGGAGGATAGGGTTCTGGCTGGCCGTTGGGACCTTTTCCCCCAGGCTGTTTTGAACTTTAAATAAATGAAATAAATTAATAATAAATATAAAATGGATTTTTAGTCCATGTGTTTACTCCCAGGAAGGATTGCATTCTCCTTCTGCTTGCAAAAAACCATATTAGATTCATTCCCATGTTTTTCTTGGCAATTGTTCTCATGTAAGTATGCATAGATCCGCAGTCTGCAGCTTTTTATTAGGAAAGTAGAAAACTCAGAGAAAAGGCTTAAATTGGTGGTATTATGTAGTGGCTGAAGGTTTGGTGCACTGTCCCCTTCTTCCAACAAAGGAAGATGGGATACATGGGATCACTCCAGGGGTGTTTTGTCCCTCCAGTCCATCTTCAAGCAGGTCTATTTAAGTGAGTTGTTCTTTACATCCCAATATTTCTCTAGATATTCTTTAAAGTCCGTCCAATCTGCAAAAAAATTCTTCTGCTTTGAAAATTATTGAAAAGAGATTGACTTTAAAAGAAGTGTAAATGTATAAGAATATTAGTTAAAGGACATGTTACCTATAGATTTTGATTAACGAGTAAAGGAGAAAAGAGGGGAATATAAGATATGGGCTGGAGGTTGGAGCACTGTGGGAAGTCAGAAGGGGTGGGGAAATAGGAGAAAAGGATATATATGACATTTAGTAATGTGATATATGTTTGACCTATTAATATATCCTAATAATTATTTTTTTAAAAAAAAAACAGGTCTATTTAAGTGAAGAACCCAGCCTAATTCTACTTGTGGAGACCATATTAAACTCATTCCCTTGTTTTTCCAAATCCATTCCTTGTTTTATGCATAACTCTGACCTCTGTGCTGAGCTCCTCTGCAAAATAGCTGAGTTCTAAGCAGTAAAGCCATGCTAGCCTACTGTACTCAAAATTCTTTAATGAGAACAAAAAAAAGAATGATCTGCTTTAAAACTAGTTCATTTTGGAAGACATTCATTTTGGAAGATAGATTAAAGCATAGTTACAGAAAAAATAATTATGTCTGTGCAGTAGTGATAGTAGGATCTAAAAGACAACTTGCATGCCTGAAATCTGAATGTAAGTGCTGTTGTACAGCATCCACACACACCCACTAATTCTGGCAAATGGTTCAATGATCAGTTGATCCAATTATTGATGAATCAGTGATATATTTGCGGCACCTGGTGATCACAATACAATCTGAATCCATAAGAGTTTGAGCATCCCTAGCTAAAACACCCCTTGATAGCTGCCTTATGTTATTCCTTTAAACATTATATTGAGTGTCCAATGTTTAAGATACATTGAGTGACATGTTACATTTTTTTCCAGAGGGAACTAGCCATGGATGTTCACAGTCACTGGACACTGTGGGTTCTTGTATATTTTTGGCATGTTGATGAGGGTTTATCTGTTGGCCATTTGTGTTAACTTCTGCACATTCTAAAAAGAAAAAGCTGTATTAAATTAAAGGTTATGCTGTCTGTAGATTGGTACTGTGGGTTATTGCCATAATATATTCATACAGGAGATTTCATCAAAGGGCCCTTTAAATGCCTTCTCCAAGCCCTGCCGCTGGCACCAGCATGTTGACATGAACCACATGAACCTCCCAAAGCCATCTGGGAGGTCCCTGGGAGGTTCATGGGGGTGGGATGGCACATACCAAGGGTTTGTAATCCGGTTTGTGCCCAGCAGTATACATTGTATTTGAGCTTCCCATATTATAGCTTTAAATACCCTCCAAACTTCCCAAAGGGATTTGACCATTTCTTTTCAGTTTCTTCTTTAGAAACCCCCTCATTTGATAGAAGTTACCTCTTCTAAAGTTAAATGCGGTTCTATTGGTCTTTTGGGGGCAACTCCCTGTTTTTCATAAATGCTAAACAAAGGCCCCGTTCACACAGAGCATTTGCTGCACTAAAGATATGGATGATAGGCGGATTTTCCAGGCACGATCACACCGCAACATCTGGGAAGTGTAGTGCACCCATGGCTAACCCGTGCCTTCGTGCCGAAGATACGGAGTAAAAAACTAGTACTTAAGATGTACTGGTTTCTGGAAAACGCAGGGCAAGGGCAGGCGTCTGATCATGTCCCGTCCTAGTCCCATCACAAACCGGTTAGGGTTTTTTAAAAAGTCTTCACAGGATGCGCACAAATGATCATGCGCATGCTCACCTTTTGGTGAGAAAAAAATATTCCAGTTTGCCACGGAAGTGGCACCTAGCGATTGCTGGTGTGATCGCGCCGTGCTGCTTCTTTGCCATGCTGCAGGATAGCTGTGTGATCGGCACCTCATGCCCTAACCACGGGACCTCAATGGGACATGTGATTGGGTGGCCGTGCATTATTTTGCTCCAGGGCAAACAGCCACGCTTCCCCCCCACATTTTCCGGCCTGTGTGACCGGGGCCTTAATATATTTTTTTTGGTCATTGTTCCCAACTGGTGCTATCACATTTACATCTCTAACCAGGTTTCAGGCTTTGTGTGGAGGAGCATTGAATCAAACCCAGTTCTCTAGATTAGAGTCTGCTGCTTTTAAACACTACGCCAAACTGGCAAACAGCTCAGTTGCAGGCTGATGTAACAATTCTGTTGTGATATCCACATTGATAAAAATTTTGAGCCAAGGCCTCAGCTTCAGCAAAGTAGATGGAAGCAGATGACATATTGTATTTAATAGATGAAAAGGAACTAAAAGGAAGAGTCCTAATCAGACATGGTGGGTGAACACCAGAATAAGCAAAAGAGACTTTTTGTCTGTAGGCTTTATAATAGGTTTGGCACATAAATGACCTTCATGAACAATGTTTCCAAAAAGAATTCTGAACAGATTCAACAGCATGGGAAAACTTAGGCCCTGTCCACACGAGAGGATTAGGGCCGGGAGAGGGACGGAACGGGGGCGGAGCAAATGGGCGCGATCCCACTGCAACATCTGGGAAGCGTACCGTGTCCGTCCCCGATCCGGCCCTTCCAGTGATGATCTGCACCAAAAAAGAACCACCTACCAAGGTGGTTCTTTTCGAACGGCCGCAGCAACGCTGGCCGCGCGATCGCCAGCGCGTTCTTTCACCGGTGCATCCCCGGCTCCTTGCCGAACTGCGCATGCTCCGACATGCGCAGTTCAGCAGACTCCCGTGCCTTTCTCCCCGTCTCCCCAGCATCTGATCGTGCCGGGGAACAAATGCACAGCGGCTCAGGGGATCTGCATGATCCCGCCACCACATGCCTATTTAGGTGCGGCTTTTTAAAAGCCGCACTTTGGCCGTCCCTTCTTCCCTTGTGTGGCAGGGGCCACTATAGTAAGATATAGGGTATTCAGTCATTCAACAAATTCACAAAATTTTTCACTCCCATTGAAAATCATAAAAATATCATCCATATATCTGTAATAACTGTAATGCCTTTTCTCTTTGTGACCTCTCGTACTCAGTATCTTTTGTGGTTTTGTGGTTTCTATTTTTTGCCTTTTACAAAACCCTTACCCACAGGTAACACACAATTTAAAAGGGGGGGGGGAAATCTTCAGACAATCAGGTTGGGAACAATAATTATATGAGGTTTCCTTCAGCTATTCCATTTTTATAAATTGGCTCCCAAATACCTGATTGAGAAAATCAGCCTTACGATTGCTATGGAAAGTGGACAGCATAGTAGCACTCTGTAACTCCTCAGCGGGATGTTCCCAGTGACGGACTAGCTATTAATTTTACCCCAACAATTCCTGGTGAGCCAGAGACAAAGCTAACAGGTCCACTAGTTATAGCAGGCAGCAGAACAATCTACAAAGAAACAGAGCACAAGAAGAAAT